GTATGAAGCAACTGGAAGCAATAGACGATTCAGAAAGTGCATAGTTCGTAACGTGAGCATACTTGCCTGTGGTTATTGATGAATAAAATAACATACAATGCCAATGGGTCGTTGTCCCACACCGCTTACCCCTACAAAGGTTTGAGATGGACGATTTTTTATCTTTAAAGTCCGTCCCTTAAATATTGTAATCCCATCTCCAGCATCACCAGCATTTACATCAGCATCACTCACAGCAACAACAATTATTGGCAGGATGACAACAGCAGTAACAGCTTTTCAGCACATCACCACCATCAACAACAGGAGCAATTCAAATATGAACAGGCACCTTAGAAGACAGGAAGAGCAGCTGGTCCATACAAAATTCAATTCGTGTATTGTACGAATAAGGCATTTTGCCAGATGACAGGCAATACGAATGTTTCGTACAAAATAAGGAAAAATGTGTTTTATCTACGAAACCCATTTTTACAAAACGAGCGTAAGAGAATTAACAAAAAAACATATTTTCAGTAAAACAGCAAAAGGGTTTATCTTCCATTTAATTCCACTTAATTAATTTTGGTATCCATGACAGATACGTATTTCGACTACAATGTGCAGTCTTCATCAGTGTCATTCCCAGTGGGAATGACACTGATGAAGACTGCACATTGTAGTCGAAATACGTATCTGTCATGGATACCAAAATTAATTAAGTGGAATTAAATGGAAGATAAACCCTTTTGCTGTTTTATTTAGCATTCCGCTAACAACCCAATTTCATTACTTCATATTTTCAGTGTAGAGAAGTTTAGAGCTCTTTAGAGCAATTTCCAAAACACTTTGAGAACGTCAGGGCAGTTCCATCAACTTCACAGAAGTCAACAAAATTTCCGTTGAGTTTAAGATCTTAAGGTGATTCCTTGAAGAGTTCAAAAATGGCTGATAAGCTCCATCACTTCAAGTTTCTTAGATCACAAATCTCACTTCACTTTTCAAATAGACCCATCGATTTTCTTCATCAACCTCTCTTTCGTTAATTACTAACACACTTGTTGAATGCAAGCATTGTCTGAGACTTGGCAAACAAGTTTTTTTCCGCGAATAGCTCGCGAGATGTCGTTAGCAAGAAGGATGACCCTATCTACGATGCAGGAAAGATTTTGTTTTGGTGTGGTTAGTTGTGCGCACGCTGAGTAGATAGAAAGAAGATTGTTGACGATTTTGAAGATTTCCTGCAAAAACTACAAGGGACAGCTCTATGGGGTTGTACGCAATGGTGACGTAAGACTACGTGGTCTTATGTAATAAATGTTTTTTTTTATTAACTGCAGCAGGAGCTTGTGTTTTGTGTAGGAAGAGGAATTTGAGCGGGGTTCTCTCTGCTTATACTCTTTAATATGACTATGATTGCCCTGAAAAGAACCTTTTGATATGAATTTTGGTAAGGAAATGTTCAGAAATTTAACTCTTTTGGAAAATCTTGTAAGCCCTGAAAAGGACCGATGGTAGTACAGGCTTAAAGCCTTTGGAAAATGAAGATGACGTGTAAGCAGCTGGATCATCAAATCGGACCGGACAATTCCATATTCTTCGGTTCAATGATTGGGCACTCGCAAAAGTCTCGGTCCGTCTGCTGCTGGACAGGGGTTGAACTGGTATCTGCGACAGGTTGGAAGGCCACAGAATATCGGTATCCGCCCAGCTAAAGCACCTCTCCTTTTTAGTTTTCTCGTTAAATTCCTTCTCTCAACAAGTTGGTAAATCTTAGCCTTTAGCAGAAAGACGCTTAACACTTTTTTCGGCGAATTTATGATCCTGTTTCACGTCATGGTTCTTCTCTATGCCTGTTCAGATAAATTAGTACTTTTATTTATTTTCTCTACTGCACTAAATCAAACGAGTAGAAATAAGAAGGTATGTCGGGTACACGCTCGAATAATTGAACATTTGATAAATATTTAATCGAATAGCTGGAAAAATCTTTACGATTAATTAATCTAGGCATTTCTAGAAAATAGTGTAATTTCATACATTTTAGTGGTCCTTCGAAAATGTCGAACAGCAGAATTGCAACCAGCAAGTGTAATCCAAGAACCAAAGCGGTGCGATGCTAGTTTTCATTGCTATGACGACGACTGAATTAAGGGAATTAGAAGCAACCCGAGCAAAGTCTAACAAAATGAAATCAAAACGATATTAAAGTTTGAAGTTTCTATCATAATGAAAACTCATTTTGATTTCAATTGTCGCAACATAAATCTGATATCATATTGTGCATTCATTGTGTAATCAAGAGTTTTTTTTAAATGAAAGCAACTTAACTTCAAGTTTTGCTCTAACATCTTGTTGAAAATTTAATTTAATTTCATGTGTCATTGAACTAACGATTTTTGATTATTTGGTTATTTCAGGTCATTCGTGACTTGTCCGGGTAAGATTTTAACTCAAGTCTTTAAGCGTGAGAAGCAGTGATGCTAACCATTTACGCCTGGCCCGTATTCAGTTAAATATTGCGAATGCAAAAGCAGTAATCAAATTGATTTCATTGAAAGCAGGATTAGTTTTTCGTTAGATTCAACAGTGTAATATTGTGCTCTCGTTTTTGCTGTGTTAACCGTTAATTCAACCAAAATGCGATCAACTGGAGTATTCAAAATAAGATATATCATAACAGCAAATTTTGATTTCAATTTGATCTCCAGCTTTGCTCGGGAAAGGGGTGAAAGTTAAATCTCTTCGAAAGTTAATCCTATTTTGATGACCATGGCTTCACTAACCTATTTCACACTACATTTTTTCTGCTATGCTCTTCTATCATCCAGAACAACAAACGTATCAATAAATATGTTATTAACAAAACAGAAAGTCGATGAAGAGAATCGATCAAAATCACTTGCACCCCTGCTTCCAAGTTTGGTTACAAGATTACAACTTTGGAGAGCATTCTGTGTGTTCGTTTGAGGCGTGTGGTTCTAAATATGGCGATGAGTATGTACGATTTTACGCAATTGCATCCCCCTATTCACACACGCCCGAAGATCGGAGGCGAATGCCACTTTGACTTGTTTCGTCTAGAAACGATTCTCTGATGACTGTGTTGGGGAAGCAGCATATGCATGTACGTAATTGGTGGATTTGTTAGTTATTTCGACGTTTTTGAACAATGCTTAACATTTACCACTTTTTCAATAGTCAAAAGCATTGTTATCGATACGTAGAAATATTTCTGATCGATTGATGATAAAATTATTTAAATTTGTCCAGGGGCAGCTGAGTTATTAACGTTCAAAATCTTTCATAATTTCGTTACATGTTCCATTTTCGGTTTTCACAAAGTGTACCTCCATATAGAAATAACAGGCGCATTCCTACGTCAAAAGATGATGCGTGATGCAAGTAGATGCGAGAAATGAAAAAAGATTTTTCGAAGATTGATTTGCTAGTGTGAGATTTTTCGAGCATCTAGAGTTGAGATTTAGATGTGACGCCCCCTCGGTCGTTGGTGAGTTTCGGGACGATATTGTTAAGGATAACTAATTTAAAGAATTACGTCTATAATTAATTAATGAAACTTTCATGAAGTTTCAAAGAATTATGGAAAGTTCCGAGAAATGCAGGAATGTTCAAAAAAAGTCAAGGAAATAACGGGGTTTCAGGGAAGATCCATGAAATTCAGGAAAATTGATAAAACGTTAGAGAAATTTTTATAAAAATTCAGGGAAGTTTAAAGATTTTAAAAGAACTTCAAGGAACCTTCAAGGAACCTTCAAGGCAGTTTCAAAAACTTCATGACAACTGCGGGAACTTAAGCGTAGATCGTTGAACATCAAGACAGTTCAATCAACTTGAAGAAAATTGCAGGATCTATTAAAAAGGTCTGAACAAATTAGGGATGTTTAGAGTACTTTATTGAAGATCAGAGATCTTTAGGGTAGTTCAAATAACTTCAGAGAAGCCCCGACAACTTTAGAAATGTCTAGTTATCATGAAAAATTAGTATTTTTGTTTCAGTTGACTTACTGTTGATTATAGTTTTATCATACGCATTTAACGTTCAATTTTAGAATTATTAGTTTCACGTCTAGAGTGCGTAAATGTGGAGGAAACACCGGAGCACGTGGTCTTTATGGTCTTCGACTGTCCTAGATTTGAAATAGTGCGAAGGGAGAATGTCGTCGATGAAATGTACCGAGAGGAGGGCACCTGGAATGCCGGGTAGTCACGAAAATTGTGTCGGAGCTGCAACGTAAATGGGGAGATGAGCAGTGATCTACACAGCAAAAAAATAATTTTAATATTAGAACAAAGTGGATGCACTTCAATCGTGTCGAAAATATGGTGTAATTTTACTTGCGAAAAAAGGCAAAATTATCATTAATACAGTGTATGAACTGTCATTACGTTGCTTTTACTGCATTTGTTTATTTGTGTTGCCATAAAAATTACATGAGATTTTCGACATGACTGAAGTGCATCCTCTTGGATAGAATATTAAAATTTATTTTTTACTGTGTATAAACACTGGCTAGGGCTTAACTTAAGAGAAATGCATGAGCACAGCCCCCACAGACATTGGCCTTTTTTATAAATAATAATTATGCGAAATATATAAATGTTTATTGGTACAGCTTTTTAATTCTGATACATTTTAAAAATAGATGTCTCTTTTTATGAGTATTATGACAGTTTTACCACAGACATACAGACGCATTTCTTTTCATAAATTTTCCATAAAAAATATCGTCGCAGAACTCACTAACGACATCTCGCCAGCTATTCACAGAAACAATATTGCATTCATACGATGTATGGAAACGTCAAAGTGATTTGATGCCTGCGGTAGAGGATTCGCGAAAATAATAATATTTAAAATGTACGATAAATTCGTATACCACGAATAAAGAGAAGGAGATTCGTCTGTTTATCTGTGGTTTTACTATCATTTCATATATCGATACATACAACAAGTTCCAGTAAATCTTATAAAATAAATTTCCAACCAAACACTACTGCTAATCAACATTCAACTTTCGAAAACTACCAACCACTCCAAAGCTGTCATCTTGTCCATCGCCCACCGCATGGCTGTCCTTCCAAAGTGAAGCAAATCTGGACTGATCGACTACCATTTGGTCCAGGGCTAGGATGCGATCACGTTGCAGTTTCAGTCGTTCGCGAAGTTGCTTTTTGAACTCGTTTATTGGGACCTCCCCATCGTACTCCTTGGGTAACAGCGATTGGGCTACTACCTTCGTCAGAGAATCCATCGAACGGTGACACTGCGAATGATAGGGAAGAATATCAAAGTATATGAGCATCAGCAACATTGTGAAGTGCTTTTCAGTTGGTCTAACCACAGACAAACAGACGTAACTGTTTCAAAAACTCTGCTTTACAAATATTGTCACGGAATTCACTAACGACGTCTCGCGAGGTATTCAAGGAAAAAAGCTTGCTTGCCAAGTCTCAAACAATGTTGCATACAAGTTCGATAGAATTGATAGAAAATGCATAGTGGTCCGATGCCAGCGCTGTGGTGAGGGATTCGCATTACTAATAATATTTAAAAGGAATGTTAAATGCGTGAGTGGCGATTGGGGAGAGAGAGTTACGTTTGATTACTTGTGGTCTAACTGTTGGATGGTGCAGACTGCAGACAATGCTGCAAAACGATTATCTTCGATCAACACAGAAAATAGTTTTGAATTTAATTTTGATCTATATTTGGCATAAACATCGAAATTGCTCAAAAGCTTGCATACAATATTGCAAATTTATGAAATATAGCACTTAAATTTATATGAAATGTCGTGTAAAATTACACCAAATGTAGCGTTAATAACGCGTGCGAGAGAACAGAGAGAACAGACGTTCAAGTTCGGTCAGAAACTTGTGTAAAATAAGTGGGAGCGTCGCCGTTACGTGGTGTTAGCATCTCCTGATTTTCTCTATAAATTTTCCACTTTCGACCAATTTGGCGCTAGTATCGATAAATTTTCTGTTGAAAATTTCCACTTGGCGCTACTAGCACTTAGTGTCTAGTGTAATTTGTGCAACGCCAGCGCCATCATGTTGTCAAAGAGGTTTTTTAAGTGGGGAAGTCGCCGTTAGTGGCGCTTAAGTCGAATAGGAATCTTTACACAAGTTTTTAGAGAAATTTTGTTCGAGCCTCCATGTCTGTTCTCTGTGCTGTACCTATATCGCAGGAAATTACATGATTTTTTCATACGGTGAAGATTACTTGTGTGTGTTTGAGTTTATTGCAGTTAGCTTATTTTTAGAAAAGTTTCATTGCTTGTCCACACCAGTTTTTAAGACGATAAATTAATCAGTAGTTATTATTTTAAACCACAATAATCAGTCGAACACTGATTTCAACGCGTGCTTTTAATTCACACCAAAAAAATAACTAAACTATCTGCAATGTGTTTGTTGTTGACAAAGATGACATGCAACATTGGCACGCTGCTCGCTGTTACCAGCTGCTACAGGCTTGTCTATTGTTCCTCTTTATCAGAACCTAGTATTTTTTTTAAATCCGCCCTGTCCAACCGGTACTAACATGGATTCGCTCCTTCAGCTTGGTACTCGCAAAGCCCAAGCACATTTCCCCAACAGCAACCGCATACCGCGGCAAATTCACCACATGCACTTCCTTAATCCTGAGCGGAATGGTATGATTCACACAGTCAATGAACCGCTTAATGTCCGTCAGGGACCACTGAGCTACGTGGCTCATCGTCAACCCGGTATCCTCAAACACGAAAACACATCCCGCAATCTGTATCTTCTCTTCGTCGTAGTAACTTTCCAGGATCATCATCATCAGCCGTATCTGATCGACGTTGCCAAAACGTTCCACGTTGAAGTTGCCCATCTTGATCAAAATGACCAACCGTCCCCGGTCGTCGTACCCCAGCGGAAGTATGGGCCAATCATCCACTATCTCCTCCACCCACGCTTCGTTAGTGTCCAATTTTTGAAACCAACTGGCCACGGTCTGTCTCAGTGCCAGATAGCGCTCCAGATTTTCGCATGCCGCAACGTGGTTGAACTTTCGCGCGCGAAGGAATCTCAACAGAAACGGTCCATCCGTTCGACACCGTTGGATGGTGGGATTCTTTGCGATCCAGCCGCGTATTTGTCGTAGGGCCTGATCACGAATTTCATCACTTTCACGGAGCTCTTCTAGAGCGGTTTTTCGGTACAAGTCCGCAAGGGTGAAATTGTACTCATCGTACGAGGTGGGACACTTTTCAACGCTTGAAATGCTCATGACTATGAACTTGATACTACTGAGAACAACGACTCAGTGCGGATGAGGCAATCTGGTGGGCAAGCAAGTCATGAAGTAATCCTATCTGTATAGAAACTGGTTTACCTCTAATTTCGATGTAGCATTGCGATGCATCACCGTACAGTTGTTGAAAATACAGGACAAAAAAATGGAACATGGTGAAGTGATGTGGTGATGGAGGTGTAATGTATGTACAGGGAAGGAGAGGATTTAAGGCTAGCTCTTAATTACTATAAGACTAATAAAAGTCGTGTGGGCCACAAAAACAGTTGTCAAATGGACAAAATGACTTTTTTGGCACCACTAGTATGCTAGTGTGTACTGCAGTGGAGGCATAGTTTAGCTTCAATATCAGATAATCCGCTAAATGTTAACTTCGGTAACCTATGAACGATAAATTGACCATAACATTATCGGTAGCTAATGCTGACTTCCCAACAAAGAATTTGAGCTGATTAAAAGCAGAATAAGACATTTTTATCTGAAGAAGCATATCTGTGCCTGAATAAGTTCTTATTCTGCTTCCAATGTTTGTTGGTTTCATTGCACGTAGGGCAATTTGTCAATTGTTGCACAGCTAAGCTTGTGCTGTTTGATATTTAACGTTTTAACGTGATTGAAAACGTTTTTGAAGTAGGAATTCCTCAAGAAACCTTTGAATGTGATTCACGAAACAGTTCCAGAGTTCATCAGCAATATATATTGGTCTCAGAGACCAATTATTGCACACTCATAAAATATGGCTAAATGCATTATGGAATGCAGTTTTTCCGCAAGAATTATCATTAAGTGATTTTGTTAGAGGATTAAAAAATATAACTTTTAGGAATAGGGTTTTTGATCTAATTTCCATCCTACTAAGTACAACACGCGTTTTACCTATCTTTTCTGAACGAGTTGGAAAAATGGAATATTTCTGTCAAAAATAACTTCTAAGTTTATTCACTTGGATTTGATAAAGAGTCACGAATTGTTGAGATATTGCTTAAAATCTAATACTGTTTCTTGATTTTAAATTTGTTCTACGAGTTTCAATTCCATCCTAACGTATTGAAACGCCATTAGAGTTTCTTCGTCCTACGGATTAACGTAGAAAAATGGAATTCGCAAGGAGCGCTCCTTTTGTTTTGAGAACAATTAGCTGCGTAAATAGTCATACCATGCGCTCTAACAGGATTTATATTGTAGCTAATGAACTAACGCATCAGAACAAACCTATTATTGATTTGTGCACGGTGAAATCATTGATATTATTAATCTTTTCTGATCAATAGAACATCGTAAAACCGTGATGTCCTCCATCGATAGCTGGTGGTCCTCTGTGAAGATGTGTTCTGCAGCCTTTTTTTAATCATACACAGTTCGAAAAAGTAGTATAAAATTCTGTTCAATATGATGCACATAAAAGGAGCGTCACATCTCATATAAGTTTACATTATAAATCGTGTAAAGTTCTGAGACATTTCATAAAATGTTGCAAATATTATATACAAAAGCCCATATTGCCTACAAGTTGCTCGTTTGCGTGAAACGAAATACAAGTTTACGTAAATGAATGTTTTTTGCTGTGTATGTTAGGCCTTTTTCCCCTTGATTTTTGGCCTTATTAAACTCCGCTATATGTGTTTTAAAACTAGTTGCTAATATTCTATATAAAATAAATTATATTTAAATTCAATACGAGTTTGTTTGTTTACGTTGTTTGAATTCCAGTGAACTGGTGAACTATTTCTGCCCCGAGGTCGTAGAAGCAAAGAAGAATACTAAAATGAAACAGTCGGAAGAAAAATCTGTCTATTTTATTGTCCTCTTTCACGCTGGGGGGTGGTGACTGTCAAATACGAACAATCGTCGCCTACCTCGCATAGCTGTTTCCAAACGACAACAAAGCAAGGGGGGGGGGGAACCGTAGGCAACGATGGTTTGTTTATGTTTGGAACCAAATTCACTAATGGAAAATCAATGAGCGTAAACAGGTGAGGCCCAGTCAATTTATCATCTCTTTCGTTCTCTGGCTGATTAAGGCTCTGAACCATTTGGTGGATTTTTTAACTTTTGGTTAAAATTTGACAGATGGAAAGTTATTTATTAACCCTGCTATCCGAGCGTGGTTATTTCTGACAGACAAGAAGTTAAATTTTGACAACCTTGGCTCGAAAACCGGTCGATCGACAGCACGGGGATTTTCGAACATAGAAAATAACTTTCGAAATGTCACTTTTAACCACGAGTTAAATTTAACTCGGCAAATGGTTCACAGCCTAAATGGATGACAGAATTTGACGTACCACTCGTTCAACCGTTTAAACAGCAGGAGAACTAAGGCTGTGAACCATTTGCCGAGTTAAATTTAACTCGTAGTTAAAAGTGACATTTCGAAAGTTATTTCTTATGTTCGAAAATCCCCGTGCTGTCGATCGACCGGTTTTCGAGCCACGGTCGTCAAAATTTAACTTCTTGTCTGTCAGAAATAACCACGCTCGGATAGCAGGGTTAATCGATAACTTTCCATCTGTCAAATTTTAACCAAAAGTTAAAATAATCCACCAAATGGTTCAGAGCCTAAAGAGATGAGAGATTCACTGAGCCTTACATATTTACATCTCATTGATGGATTTTCAGTAGACTAATTTGGCAGCATATACCGCCCCTGCTTCCACGGTCCCTATTCACCCCGTATGCAAGATGTTTTTGTGGATATGCTGCCCCCTCGGTAAAGATGAAATTTTACTCTCTGTTTGTCATCCAAACAATCACACCAAAATCAGAGATGTCCCTTTTATGTATTACGCGGTTCACAACTAATCGGTCATATTGTGTTCGCTGTGCTGTCATTTTTCCACCAATGAGAGTGAAAAACATGTTTGAAACGATGGACGATGATCCTCTGGAGAAGTTAATGCTTATATCGGCATGATATAACCGATAATGATAATTATTGAACACCGACTGCTCTCATCTAGAACATCAAGACGATTCTTAATCACCACATCCATTATGTTTCATTTCGTGCTCAATATTCTCCGTTCTGTGGTTTCCATAACTGAAAGCTGTCTAAATTTGAACTGAAGGAGGAAGAAAAAGAAGACAGGAAGAAGGGGCCGCAATTCCTATCAGCTTGTGAACCAAATTGTACTATACGTATTCGACAGTCACGTTCGTGGAACAACCGAAGAGAAGTGGCTGAAAGTGCTAACAACCGGATCTTCTTATAGTGAATGTCATGTAGGTACATGTGATCAATTATCCATAAATTATTATTTCGTTTTTGCAATGAATTAGTAGGAGTTACTAGTGAGGTGACAAAAGTCAACGCGAGTGAGGTGACGCTCAATTTGATTTACACGGAGTGTCACCTCACTAATGACAGCGAGTCACCTCACCTCACTCGCGGCGCAGAATAAGGAAGATTAATTCAAATCTATGACCGGAATATGGAACATTTTGACCCCGGGTTGGTTCTCCGGAAGAACTGAAATATTGAAGATCAAGTGGTCAATTCTGAGGGTAAGACAGCTTTTGATTTTTGAGTAGCTAAGACTGCTGCTCAATGTTCAACACGCGCAGCAACTCAGCAACCTGATTTTTGTGGTCATCCTTAAAGTGTCTTACAAACGAATAACAAACTACGAATGAATAATCGAAATTCATCTGTTTTTAAATTAAACATTGTTTTAGTTAACAATTTTAAAGAAACCAAAATCTGTGTATAAAACACAATATTTATGCAAAGTTGATTATTCCAGCTCCAGTACTTGGCACTGATGAAGCCTGCAAGTAGTAAAAAAGTAGTAGTCTTCATAAAGGGATTTCATTAACGGACAGAGGTTCAACAAAATTAAAAGACTAAAATTGTTGTTGGATAGTAAAAAAAATTATAATTTGTATAATAATCAAGAACCCGATAATTTATCGCTAACAGATCACAACTTGTTGCTACTTTCCACTAAAATCTTTAAAGATACTGGTGATTAGTTTTTGACTACTTACTTTGAGTAATATTGAGTAACTATTCTATTTTACTCAGTGTAAATATATTTACTCTGAGCACAGCTGGTTTTCCCCTAGGGTCAATTTATGAAATTCTAAAGCTCAGTGACTAAAATTGAAACTAGGACAGGAATATGGATCATTATATTAGAACACACAAACCAAAAATGTATGACATTGAATGTTAGTTGCATTTCCTATCAATCTTGCCGAGAGCTACTCTGTCCCCTCTGAGAGTCTACATTTCGATCGCATGTCTCAATTATTTTATGTAGCATCAGTACAATTGATTTAAAAAATCACAGAGCTCTTGGATCAGTATCATAAAATAAACACGCAGGAATAGACAAATCATTCATCGGTGTCGAACGACTTACATTGCTTGACTCTATTCCTAGAATAAGGTAAATCATAGCTTTCTTTTAGAGAGGTTTTCGATTTTGTTGTTGATAAAAATCCCGTGACGTAACCCTATAAAACGCAATCCTGAAAGCTCTGATTTTTTCGGATTTACATATGGGAACGTGGAGTAATAGCTTCATGAGGTCACTTCATTTTAATCAAACATTCTATTTTAGTGCATTCATTAGTCTGAATAATCTTCTTGATGTTACGGAAAACATCGAGTGAAAATATACATTGATCATCGATAAAATGATTTCACAAAAAATCTTCTCAAAATAGCTTTTTTATTTTTCGCTGGATGGCAGGAGTAAAATGCATATCCGTACGTTATTATTGCTGGAAGTATAAATTTAGGTTGCATTTAGAACACTTTTGGAAGGTTCCCACTATCAGTAACTCCTGTTTTACGTAGCTCATGACAGCAATTTAAACGTCAACGGCTGTTTCTGAGTTACCAATCCAAACGGCGAATATTGCCCAACCCTCAACTCAGAGCTTTGTACATTAAAAACGCTAATCTGTGATCGAAAACCATTCTGTTTTTACACAGATCACGAAGCTAGCAATGCAGGAAGTGGATTCAT